AATCAACACATATTATTAAATCGTTATTTTACAATGACGTCATTTACATGTCAAGTTCCACTTCCGCGTCAAGAAAGTGACGTCACAGTATTGTTCAGTACGCGCAAGGAGCGCGTGTAGCTTGTCTCAACTCTAGGGTGAGATAGAAAAATCTCACACAGGTTAAAAACTGTGGATATCCCTGTCCGGGGTAAGACAAAAGATCTTTCCCTCGATGATCAGCAACGAGATAGTCCTAAACTGGTAAACCGTCTTTAAGTATTTCTCCTTTGGGGTTAAGGCTCTCTCCGCTCTTTTCCAGCAAGTTGGTATAACCCCCCTTTTCCACACTGTACAGATGAGTCTCCACAATCTCCTTAAAAATTGTGGAATTTTCTTGTAGACTTTGTACGGTATGCCACTTGGGCCTGGTGCTGATCATGTTCTTGCCTTCTTGACAATGTCTTGAATTTCCTTTCAAGTTTGGGGGCTTGATATCCAGTGGTCTATTTGGGGTATCCACCTCTTCGATTCAAGGACAATCTCCCAGAGGTTCTGCTCTCCTGTCATCAGGGTGTACACTTCTTAGATGATCCTCCACTTCCTCCCTGGAACTTTCAAGTAGGCCTAATCTTTCACCTCCCAACATGGGTATTGTGAAAAGGAATGAGTCTTTCACGAAGTTTGCTCTTTTCTTTGTTTTATCCTTCCTTTCATTCAGAAGACTTTCTGCATTCCTTAGACTACAAAGTGTCCCTCTGAGGTTATCTCTAAGCTACTGTAGCCCATGCTTCTGCTCATTAAGTGCTTCCTTATCTCGCTTCCCCAAGTACCTCAGCTTATTGCGTATTTGCACAATCCGATATTGTCTTCTGTTCGTTTTTGTAGCTGCTGATAGAGAGTGCAGCTTCGTCACTTCCACTCCAAACCGCTGCTTACTCAAGTTGTATACAATGGACGTCATTGCCTCCAACTTCTTCTCCGCTGTACCCTGTACAGTAACTTCGAGTATAGCTTCCAGGTCGTGGTCAAGATTTGCCCATGCTGTTTCCTCATTCATCTTCGGCCATTGTAGTCTCTCGAGCCTCATGTCCGTCCCTGTCTGATCATCTTGGGCACCCTTATTACTCAAGCTCCCTCTACTGCCAAGAGATAACACTAAGGCCTGGACACTCTCAATACTATAGGTTGACTTATGGCGAGTTCCTCCTGCGTTTCACCAGGGTCGATGGCCTCTGCGCGCTGCATAGGTGTTTTCCTATGGCTGTAATTGGATCTTGTGTGATGGATCTTCAGCCCTTTGATGTTCTTGCAGACTTTCCTGCACTGGTACCTTGTTTAGACTGGTTTGCACTGGTACCTTGTTTAGACTGGTTCACCACTCAACGTTGTTTGTACCATCGCTCGTGTATTGTTTGTCCGTGTCCTGTCGTATCCTGTTGGTCCGTCCTGTCGTATCCTGTTGGTCCGTCCAAGACAAAAACAACACCGCGAACTGGTCGTAAGAGCCCTTCGGACTAAAGGATAAGGGAGCTTCTGGTATGTTCACGATGTTATGACGTACAAGCAAGCAGCTGCACTCTCTAATGTCACCTATTTTATTATCTTTCTGTCAAGGCAGCGTCTGAACCAAACCGGGCATATTGACGAGCGTCCCAGGTCGGTCAGAACTTCAAAAGATTACAGATTGTGCTGTCTACTGTGTAGACAGACAATGCCAGCTCCGTTCACTGCCAACTCGATGAGGAAAGAGGAGGTTGGAACAATAGGCGACATTGCTCTCGCCGACCTATAAAACGTCCTCTTTTCACTGGTACACGCAAGCTAGACTGCAATGGGCTCGTAATAACCAGACACGGAATATAAGGTCTTGGTAAAAAGTCTATTGATATAATGAAAACTATTTTTTACTTACTGCGACAGATGTTATAGTTCGGTCCCTACAAATACGACAAGCCATCATAATCACACTCTGGGCACACCAGCATTCAGTGGAGGCGGTGTTACTGATTTGGGGTGCTTTTCTCTTTACTGTAAGCTTCGCTTCCATCATCTTTATAGAACTTTATATTGGCAAAAGTACCGTGATAAAATCTTTCGACGATGAAATGGGTTGGATACCAAGTGAGTGGCGGCACCTTAACAGAAATGTCGCCTTAAAACCTTCGGTCTGGGTATCCAACTGTGTAGGACGTCATCAACGTTTGTGTATCGAGAGTTATTTAGGCACTCTTAGAGTTGTTTAGCTATGCCGGTCGTGTGGGTCTTGTATTGACAGGCTAGTTTTCAGGACGCCAGAGAGTTTTGGCATGCTTGTAGAATGGTGTTTGGAATGACGTTAGGAATAAAAGATAAAATAATTTACAATATTTAAAAATCTAAGAAGTGATTAATACAAGTCTACGATGTAATAAAATATTTATATATAAACAACAAAAAAGAAAAATGGTTTCTTATGTAGATAAAAGTCGTTTCTTCTGTTTTGATATGAATTTCTGAAGATTGTAATCATGGGTCCATGTCATGGAATCTTTTATCTCTTTACAAAATTTCAAACCATTAAAGATACCGGCTATCCCAAGGTGAAACATGGTATTTTTTCTACCATTGATATGCTCTTAATATGAGCATAACCAAGATTACTACTATTGAATGTCAAATCCTAAACAAAACATGACAAGCAAATTCATGGAATTTTATAACCCCCGCTTTCCAAACATATTGTAAGTAAATATTTCAGAGGTTAGAAGCAAACATGTCATAATGCTATGTAGAATGATATATTCTCTTGAGCTATGATGTATTGCTTTAAAACCAAAGAAAGATGTAAAGGATTATAGAGAGTAGATGTTTTATTGGACATGTCAAATATTAACCAATAAAGTGAACTAATTGAAGAAAACTTGCATACTAGTAACTATAATGGTGCTAAGCAGATCCATGGTCATCAGCAGGTGTAGTAGTCCACACAATACGATGATCAAAATAGGAGACTGGATAATATTTGTGGGACTTCAAGTTACATCTAAATCAGATTATATTTAGGAAAATTTTAGCACAAAAACTGAACAATCAATGAAATGTAAACTAATTAGTATGCATAGATATTAACAGTTGATGTTGACTGCTGAACTCTGTCTTATGTGCCCTAATATGCATCTGCTGACCAAGTGTCATCTAAATCGGATTATATTTAGGGAAGTTAGAGCACGGAAATGAACCAACCAATGAAATCAAAGAATATCTTATTAGTATGCATAATTATTAACAGATGACACTGATTGTCAAACTCAAGTCTTAATGACCCCAAGATGCATCTGCTGACCAAGTTTCACCCATATTGGATAATATTTGAGTAAGTTAGAACATGAAACGAAAGTGTGACAGACAGACGGACGGTCAAACCCCAATTAATATCCCCCGTTTCGATGAAAGTGGGGGATAAAAATAAGAATAAGATAACTATTTTAGAGACAGAAATTTTCGATCGATCATTTTAGATTATGAAATTAACGATATATATCATTTCAGTAAAATGAGTCACTTCTATTCATGACTCAGATTTCTGTATATTACTCCTGAGCTGATTAAAACAAACCACGCGTCCAGGGGCGAGATAGATGTTTCATTGGAATATCAGTTATCAAGCTTACTTACTTAAATAATGGAAGTGGTTGTGAAATGTAATTCATCACTCAATCAAACATGGCACTTAACTTGATAGTTTTCAGATTATATGGAAAGTTCTAATCACACCCCCTCCCCACCGCCATCCCCCGTTTCCTTTTTTTGAAGTTCCAATTTGGAATAGACTTCAGTAATGCTAGGCGGCGTCTTCAATGAAACAAGTGTTCGATGTTGTCCTCGATTTACACAAGCTGTACCAGCTGTTGAAATTGATGCATTTTATGTATTAGGGAGATGCCAGGAATGATATCGTGTGGGCGAATGCAACATGTACTTTGATTAAAAAAATCAGTGTTTGATTTTACTACCAAACTGGTAAATAACAGTGTAGTATTACTGTAGGCAATGTTCTACTGACTGACCTAAAGCAGACCCTAATTGCAAATGACCACGTTTACACCTCTGATTAGGCTTTTCAGTTTACACAAAATCAAGTCATACTGTGCTTCATGTAACAAGAGGTACATAGGACCTGTATCACTCCCATGGTCTAGTTTGCCAAAATATTTCAGGAGACCGAAAGAAAAGTAAGAGGATAGGATGAACAGTTTATGTATAATTAACGATGTTGCCCCAAAGATACTTCAGAACAAATCGGGTCAAAATCCAACCATCAATCATCTAACAGGAGTAGGATCTTATAGAATTTCCTCCATTTCCCACATTGGGCCCATCCTAGTAGCTTCAATCCAAATTCAGCCAGAATTCTCATTCCTACAGGAATCCTATTGCATTTTAAAGAATTTTCTCCAATTCCCCTAATGGGCCCAGACCAACCATTTACACCAAATTGATTCCCCTTCTCATTAGAATGAATTAGTCCAAATTTAGGAGTAGGATTTCAAAGAGTTTGCTCTACTTCCAATATAGGGTCCTGCCCTCAGGTGCCCTTTGGAGCAGAGTACAACCATTTATGCAATATTTGAACTGCTTCCTCCAATGATACCACTGACTAAATTTGGTCAAAATCTGCTCAGTCGTTCACGACTAGTAGCAATTTATAGAAAAAGAACAGGCAGACCGACACCCACAGTATGCATTAGCTTGCAATGAAAAGATATCAGTATACAGTAATGTTTACTTATGTATAAATCAATGATTCAATGTTTGATGAAATGCTGCCATATATGTAACCTTGTATAATTGTTTATGGAAGAGGATGTTCTTAAGTTGTTTAACTTGTGTCCAATTCCATTTGATTTTTGGGTCAAATAAAATATTTTTAAACTAATGAAAAGATAAAAGACAACCAAATATTGAAATGGTTTGTTAATTGAACTCATTCCTCAGTCCAATGTTTTCCAGGAGGAAATAAAGAAGGAGAAAGTCAGAGAGATTCTGTATACTTTTTTTATTTCATGACCTAGGCAATGAACTCGTATGGGATTGGCTCAATCAGCTGTGGTTTGTTGAACTTTGTACTCACAAAATGAGCTTTGTTAGGCTGTTTGGGCTGTAAAAGGAAAGAAGAATCCTATTACATAACGCATCAATTAATGCAATGTGCATGTATCAGAGTTTTCTATAATGGTAAGGATTTTTACTTAAACAAATTTGAAAGATAATCCAATCACCACATCACACATGTATGAACAAGAAAATTTATAACAAAAATTACACAAAAGAATCAAAATTGATTTGTTTTAAAAATTCACTTGTCAATAAAATTAATGAATGACAAGGCAGACACACCTGACGTTTCAAGTTCAATCTGATTCCCTTCTCCTTGGCCTGCTTCTTCTTTTCTGCATTATCCCTGACTCTCGCTAAAAAGTCCAGACGGCAGTTGGAGTGCTTCACATGTTCCACTCGCAGATTGATTCTTTTAGGCAACACTCTGTGTCTGTTTTACAAAGATGATAAAAATCAGAAAGTCATGAAATGAGAAGTGATTTGAAGTAAACAAGAAGTAAACCAATTTTAGGTTTTCAGAAAAAACTAGTCATGTTGATAATGTGAAATTCAATCAATCAGTACTCTATATTGTAAGGAAACACTAATTTCCATGATCCGTGGTAAAGCTGTGGTTTTGTTGCATTAGATTAATTCTGTGAAATAGTGAAACACATGAAAAAGATTTTTGCTCTTGACTAGTGTTGCATTTTCAAACATAGGTGAATACATCATTTGATAAGTATCTATATACATAGATTATGTAATACTTTTCAATAACAATTTTTTTTTATCAAAAGGATCATGAATATTATTAAGAACATATAAAACTTTACTGGAAGTAAAATTATTTTTGATAAATTGATTTAAGCTATGTAATAATGATTTACATCTGCTGTGAACAAACAATGTTTTCTCAAGCTATTCCCAATTAGCAGCAGTATCCCTAGTAAGTCCTGACCAATAACAACTACCTGCTCTAGTGATTTTAAATGGCATCTTTAGTCAACTCACACATTCATTTTTGGGTTCATTATGATCACAACAGTATTGTATAGTAAGTTTTTGTTAATGCAGTATTAATTTTTTTCCCCGGTTTTCCAGAGAGATGTTTTCACACAATAATGGCAAAAGATGGGAGTTTTCCCTGATATTTAGAGATTACTGAATCTACATCAATATGTACACATTACTTGATATCATTTAGTTGTCCTTGATCTGCATGAAAAAAGAATTGTATGGGGTCCTTCATCAAGTCGAACATATCTCTTATCAAAGGCTCTTAGAGCACATCCTGTCAAAATACACAAAATATCACTATTGGTGTTTTCCTTATGCTACTGGCCACCTATCAGACCAGATCAAGAAAATTTTCTGTTTCTGGTAAACCTACCTACCTATATGTTTTGTACCCCAATTGTTTTTACACAATTCTCTAAGAAGCAATGTTCTAGTCAAGATCTGTCCTATAAAAACCATTTCTTACCCTAAATTTTTCCAACATGTTACAAGAAACATTTATTTGTTTGCCCTTATAGTTACTATAGTGCGATTATATCCATATACATGATTTTTTATACTGGAGACAATCTTACCCTACACGCTTGTTAACAACAACACCGACAGCATGAGGAGTCACATTGAACACTCGACCAGTCTTTCCATGGTAACTCTTGTGGGGCATACCCTTCTGTACAGCTCCGTGGCCCTTTCAAAGATAATTATCTAACATTACAATTGCACTACAACCGCATCATTTATCAAATTGTTCAGACAGTTTTTGCTCCAGATTAAGTCATCTTTCTTTGATAGAATTAATTACTTATGAAAGTGCAAAAGATTTTTCCAATATAGCATAAAGTGAATACCTTGATGTCAACAATGTCTCCTCTTCTGTATATTTTCATATACGTGGACAGTGGAATGACTCCCTTTGTCTTGAACGGACGGGAGAACATGTAGCGCGTACCGCGCCTATATCCCTTAGTGTTGGTCATGATGCCTGCTGAAAAGAAATGTAATTCATGTTTCAATAAACTGCTGCATTTTGAAAGAAATTTTACTGAATTTCAACATATAGAGGAGAGTGGGATGTCAAATAACAAAACAGCATTTTGTACTGAATTTTGGAATTTGTGAAATTTTCAGAATATCGTGGTCTGAAAAACCAAAAACAACTATTGTTAAAATGCATAATCAACTGATTTTAAGCAAGGATGAACTATCAACATTTAACAGACAACTTCTTTTTCAATTTAAATTAACAGTGGACAGTCAAGTCATAATATTTGAAAATCGAAAGAAAATGAAGTCTGATAGACGAAAGTGCATTGGCAGATTGCATCATTATATGTATACACCAGTTATAATATTGCTCAAGGTCTTGGTTCATTGGAAGTGTTTGAGAGCAAATCAAAGCTTTTAGTACAATGTTACAGCTACAGCATTCAATCTCATCAATATTTCCTTGAGAAATTAACAGATTAGAGGAAAACTGAATTTTTTGCTAAAGCAAGCCTGGGTAGACCAACAATGACAAACGTATGTGGAAGTGCAACATCAAGTAGAAGGTAATCACAGATTATTTACAATTCTGACAGTTTTAGGTGTATTATTCTATAACAACTTTATTTAGTTTAACGTACAGCGATGAAATGTATAAAACTTGCAAAACATCTCTTAACTGTTTCAATATTGAATATATGCTTATATTACTATTTCAGACCAAATATAAGTAAATATTGCAACATTTTTATCATGTCATTAAACAATTAGTAGATGACCTAAGCAAATGTAAATCAAATAACAAAATATTCGACAATGCCAATCTCAGTCATTTATATGATTTCATGAATTATCATATTAACGAGATTCATGTTTTTTCTTCATCATTGATTCAGCACTATCGAAGATTTGTCATTCTACTTGAACAAGATCTTGTTCATATTGATTCTAAGTCATTTTGGAAATCTAAATGTCATGCACTGGGCATTATACCTATCCTCTTTAAAGAATTATATGTATTATAGTTTACTTGTACTAGTAGATCATAAACAAACACTGATTTCATCTCTCAGAATATTCATAATCTGTTTAGCTTCAAAAACTTTCAATGCCAGCTAGTTTACAATGCAAAATCAAAGATTGACATAATGTATAATGAATATTGTATATATTAACCCATAATTACATAAAAATGTATTATTTCACTTATAATCTCATTTATTGACTATACATATATATATATAATGGATTAAATATTCCCACTTTAGCCTCAACTTTGCTTAGCATTGTTTTATCTTGTGAACGTTTGCCGTTTTATCAAGTCTGTTTCCGGCTTGTTTTTGTTTTCTCAAATGTGGAAGATGGGCAACTAATGATAATTTTCACTGAACAGGATTTACCCGATGGTGCCTACAATGGTTCTTTACATGGGTTTCGAAACGTGTATATGTTGTATGGTGTACGTTAAAAGAATAAACCATTTCATCATTAGTTACAAATCATAACAATGAAAATTCTGTTGTGTTATAAATACTAAAAATAATCGTAAATTGAGAACTCCATCATAGGCAAATGAGTCCAAGAGGAGGCTCAAGGCCTGGTAACGACGGCACACGTGGTTTACAACCCTCCGATTTATCGTTCAGAATTTTAGTATTTCATAAACCGCTGAATCCTTAGTATACATATAAGTCAGTTAGCAGTTGTGTCTAAACACCGATTTATATATTACAAAACGTTTAGCTTATTTCAAATTGCAGAGCAAGTACAAAATTTGAGGGCAAATTTTATTCGCACCTTACAGTATGGCCGACCGGAAGAAAAAGGATTTGTCTACGCATGCGCACTCCTTTCACATAGTGCAAGGAAACCTGAACAATGCGGTCGTTATAAAAACAAATCCATTCGGCTTTCGTCACGAAACATACCTTTCTTTTCTGTTAATTTTCCTATTTTTTCTTTTACTTTTTATAATCAAACTTTTCTTTTACTAGTAATCTTCTAGATGCATCATTTTGATTTAATAAAGAACCTACCAAAAAGTATTTCTAGTATAAGTCTTTCAATGAATTCACATGACAGTTTATTTCTGAAGACTAAGTAACGTAGAATAATTGTGTACATGTAGCCTGTACTAAAATGTACTCTATGTATAAACTGCCTTACTGTCTGTGGCCTTTTGCCCGATCTGTCTGATTGTTGCTTTCGTCCGTCTATCATTGTCACAGCTAGCTTTTGGGCTATTTCCTTTTCCATCGTAATAAAAAGATTAGTGTATTAATTATGTTGCGTGTATATTTAGTGTGCGCGTCCCGAAATTAATTATGTTGGACAATGTAGTTAACAGTACGATATTGCGCGTATTTTAGATGCTTATATAAAAGTAAGTGAGTAATCAGTGCATCAAAAGGAATATGTCAACTCAGCCATTTATTTTAGCAGATGAAATTAACTCGATAATTTCAAGAATATATAAAATTGTTCAGATTATACAATAGTATGCTGTTTATCCAATAACGAATTCTCAACTAATGCTCCATAAATGCTTTATATAGAGAATATGATACAAATAATGATGATAATTATAATAAATACATTTATTTTATTCAAGTGTCACATATTGATCTACATCAAAATACTTTTAAAACTACACATAAAATGTGAAATCAATGTCAAAGATAAGATTAATTGGCTTGCGAGATCATAACATAAAAAAATCAGATCACAAACAATCATTACTACTCGTCAGCTTATTTACAATTATCACAACTCGTCAGCTTATTTACAATTATCACAACTCGTCAGCTTATTTACAATTATCACAACTCGTCAGCTTATTTACAATTATCACAACTCGTCAGCTGATTTACAATCATCATTACTCGTCAGCTTATTTACAATTATCACAACTCGTCAGCTGATTTCCAAATCTTCATTACTCGCCAGCTTATTAACAATCATCACAACTCGCCAGCTTATTTACAATTATCACAACTCATCAGCTGATTTACAATCATCACTACTCGTCAGCTTATTTACAATCATCACAACTCGTTAGCTTATTTACAATCATCATTACTCGTCAGCTTATTTACAATTATCACTACCCGTCAACTTATTTTCAATCATCACTACCCGTCAACTTATTTACAATCATCACAACTCATCAGCTGATTTACAATCATCACTACTCATCAGCTTATTTACAATCATCACAACTCTTCAGCTGATTTACAATCATCATAACTCGTCAGCTTATTTACAATATCACTACCCGTCAACTTATTTTCAATCATCACTACCCGTCAACTTATTTACAATCATCACAACTCCTCAGCTTATTTACAATCATCACTAATAGTTATTCATCGGGGCCGACTGTACTGCAGGTGAAATCCATGATATGAGATATGTTTTGGCATAGCCATGCATAGAATTCATATACAAACCGTTCTGGGTGGCCGCGATGCAACGGGCCTTCCGTTAGTTGTTCCGTAAGTGAGGTAGTCACCAGCGACTACAAGGGAACCTCGTCTAAAAAAGACCTTGACTGTTTTCAGGGCGATAAACAACATTCACATATATACTCTTGAAAAGTGAAATTCGTGTGAAGTTTTTCGTTGTCACTGAAGTACCCTTTACAAATGATTTATTAATTTGTGCTTATTGCGGATGAATCTGAGCTTCTTTGTGCGCTTTTAAGAACATCACACTCTCAAAGATTTCAAGAAAATAATATATTTCAAAATTGGTGTTTGATTATTAGATTAACAATGTATATAACAGGTGCTACATACATTTGCTGTTTTATTCCGCAGGTGATATGCAAAAGCGGGGAAAGATATTTATTAAGGATTTATTAAGGAAGCAGAGAATAACAAATAACTTTAGATTAAAAAAAAAGATGACAAAATAACTACGTATGTAAAACAACAATATATACAACGAATATATATATATATCTGACCATATTATATTGTGTTATGTCATCTTTAATTTGAAATGAATCTAGATAGGACGTTGATACAGTTACTGAAAACCAAGGACTTATAATATTAATATGAGCACATTCCGTGTTAATTCTGTGGGCGGTTCTACAGACGGTGAAGCGACTAGTGGCACATGGACGGAAACTTTGAATAGGGATCACTCATCACTCCAGAATATATACTTATTTTTTGTCATTTGTCATTAAACATGACCGCTGTGACTTCCGTATATTTTTATTACAATTCTCAAATTTCTTGTACATGTTCTTTGTAAATCACATCTCAAGAAAAATTGAAGATACGTTAATGAAGGGAAGTAACTCAAATGAACGCGACGACCTTATTTCCGCACAAGTATTCGGATCCAATATTAGACATGACACGAGAAAAAATATGGCGCCGGTGTAAATAAACGAAGATTACAGTGACATTCTCTAGGTACCGTGAGGATCCACAACTATGGTATGTATCGTTAACGTTAAGATTTGTTTACTCGTTACAGAAGGGTAGCAGTCAGGACAGCGATGTAGTTGTCGACAAAGTCTTCAGGTGTTTTTTGTATGACTTCTTGCGTAATGAACTTTCATTTCCGTCTTGGATCATATTTGCTGTCGTTGGTTGTTTTGACAATATGTCTAAATTTAACAAGCGGCTACAAACTAGAAATATTATTCAGATATTGTGAAAAAGTCGTTTGTCGCACTTATGACAGAGATCTAATTAGGTCTCTTCAAAGGATTACGAACAACAAGGTAATGTCCTACACAATAATTTAAACCAGTAATTGATAATCAGCTCTTAATACATGTATTTAACGTTAACTTTCACACAAGTAAACGGGAGCATGATCTAGGGACTAGCATGTTCAATAACATGTATTAATATCGTCTGTAAAACCACACCACAATATACGTAATATAAATGTTGTGTGCTCATTTGTTACAAACATATAAATATAAACATTAATTTGTTTATTTTATAACAATTGTGAAACAAAATATTTCAACTTATACTAATCACTTTTGTTGCCCATTATGTAAGCATGTGAGACGTCCTAATTTATGAGGTATCTGAAATACCTGGGGAAAATCCATGTGGTTGTGCAGGTGACCCAGGCCCTTACCTTTTCATATACATATCCGTTCTGGGAATCAAACTCTGCAGGGCTAGGTGAAGTGCTAGTGTGTTACCACTGTGCCACCTGACCATACATGTGTGGTAATCACATGTTATAGATTACCAGAGCGTATTGTGAGCATATCCCCCATTAAACACTCACTTCCATGAAACTATTACATTGAATTGTTTGCTCTGTGATATATCAGACTTATCAAATTAAGACTACACAAAGCATGTTTGTCAGATGTTTTTGAGTTTCCTTAACTACATAACAGAATAACATATAAGAGGCTAATGGCATATCACTGTGCGTGGTTGGGATAAAGTATCTTGTCAAAGGACACATCCAATACAGTAAAGACAGTTCTGCTTTTTTACTAATTGGGAAAACATGAATTGCAATGGTTAGGGATTGAGAATCAAACCACACACCTCAGATGTCTTCAAATAATACCAATATGATAAACAGATTTGAAAAATGAGCCCACTTTGATTTGTAAATGATGCTAAATTGATCTGGAATTTCAACATTTTTTTTATTTCATTTTCTTTTTCTATGATGGTTAACTGTATGTGTGGGCAAATTAGCATATGTGTAAGCTGAGTTTACCATATCATGTAGAACATTCATATTGTGACATGGAATGTATTGTATTTGTTACAGGGAAACAATGCTTCCCAACTAGAGAAGGAGATTGGATCCGAACAGCTGCCTGCAAACGAACACTATTTCGGATTAGTGAATGTAAGTATTGATGGCCCAATGTAGTATTTCGTGTGGTGTTTCTACTGTAATACACTTTATCTATGTCAGTTGATCGTCAAAAACGATACCGCCCACAACATCAGGCAAGTTCAGAAGACATGTTGCCAATATAGCAGATGAGCCGGTGGTTACTTTTAATTATGAACATTGAAATAGTGAATTATATTAGTTTGGCATAAATGGTCTGGTTACATATAGGATATATGCATCACTTAATCAAGTAATTAAGGCCTATAGAAAGGTGTAGATAGTACAATCACAGTACATGTGCATCTGCTCATAGTGATGTAGTCAGCCCTGGTATACATGTAAATCTTTGCAAAAAATTGATACATTGGAATATGTTGTTTCTACATGTGAATTTTAACAAAAAAAGAAAAAACAAAAAAAAAAAAAAAACAACAAAAATATAGGGATCTCTGATCCACCAGGTAGGATTAATATAGAACAGACAAATAATAATGCCCTTATTCCATAACTTGAACTCTGTTGAAAGTTGTTCAATAATTATTTCCAGTTTAATAACATTTGTAATTGGTAACTTGGAGTTTGATGTCATTGTATGTTTTGTGGTCATTACATTGTTAGTGTCAAGGTTAAAATGATGAATGTCACCCCACAGTTTTATAAGCAGTATAAATTTATATTTATATTTGAGACCTTATTCACTTTCTTTGTGTTTTCAGTTTGGGAACACCTGTTACTGTAACTCTGTTTTACAAGCACTGTATTTCTGTCGACCATTTCGAGAGAAAGTTTTACAGTACAAACAACATCAAAAGAACAACAAGAAAGAGAGCCTGCTGACATGTCTAGCAGATCTATTCTATACTATAGCTACACAGAAAAAGAAGGTTGGCACTATTGCTCCCAAGAAATTCATCACAAGATTACGCAAGGAATATGGTATGAATATGCTTATTGGAATAGATTAAAGATTGGTTCGTTTTTACATGTGATGTAGATGTCTGTTGCTAAACAGAAAATAGGTCTTGGTAATAATATTGTTGATTTGGTTTTGCCTTTAAGAGTTGTAAAGCAAAATATGGTGAAGTTCATATAAAGACAATGATATATGATAGAGTTACATATCAATTTTTATACAGAATGTATTTTAATGTGAAGATATATTTATTTGTACAGAACTTTTTGACAACTACATGCAGCAGGATGCACATGAGTTCCTCAACTATTTACTCAACAGAGTGTCTGAGCTGTTACAAGGTAACAGAATTATCTAAAACAAAATCATAAAGAAATCAACGATACACTGTCAGGTGTATATGTTTAGACATGTCAACATCATTTTGTTTGTTAAATTATCAGCCACCTTATATCTCAAACTTGAAATTGATATATGTGATCCACATGGAGTCACCATCAGAACCACATGTATTAAGAAATCAATGTTGTTCTGGTTTCTTATAATGTTTAAGTTAAGTTATTTCTTCTTGAAATATTGCATCAAAATGGTCTGGTAGGTATAGGATTGAATATAAGGCATGTCAAAATCTTTGTGATTGTTTCCTTTTATCAATGCACTATATAAAATTCTTTCTAATTACAGAAAAACAGGGAAACAAGACAAAGAATGGAGGAAATGATAACCAGCCTGGATCAAAATCAGAGCCAACTTGGGTGGAGGACCTCTTCCAGGGGACATTCACTAATGAGACACGATGTCTTAACTGTGAAACGGTATGTTATAGTCAGATTGCAAGCTTTGCTGGGTTTATCACCCCATGAATAACAAGGATCGTTTTGTGGCAGTGTCTTTTGTAGTCACTGGTGGTTGTCTCACTGAAAAATCTAAGGGAGGCTCATTGCAGGGTGTTCAGAGCTATTATGGGAATGTGTCTTACCCAAGAACAATGTCAACACACACTAGTCTGTTTTTCAGCTTTCTGAGAATCACAATCTGCCACTGTGGGTAGTGCCAAACCACACCTCAGATGTTCACCTGAGGTTGCCCAGGCTAATACTAAACTGATTGATATATTGTGCCATCCAGATTGTAAACTAGATACCTTTGCGATTGTAATAAGAAAGATGTACTGATGTTACAGACAACCTGTCTTGATTGTACCTTAAAAGGATAAACATAGAAATCAATAAGGTATTCCTTTTTCAAAACTTGGACTTAATTTACCGACTGAAGATTAAAGTTTTCTCTATGTTCTGCATTTTTGCCATAATAAGACCTACAAACATTCCAGGTAAATGAAATGATTGATTTTCTACAATTGTAAAATAAATAAGGAGTATGGTATTATAGGTCATTTCTATTTGGGAGCAAACAGTTGTACAAAATGAAAGGGTTATGGTTATTGTATTTGTTGAAGATGTAGTGCCAATTACGGAGATGATACATACACATTTATTCACATGTCAAACATTACCATATATGTCATAAACAATATCAATAGAAACACTGTGCTAAGCAATAATATCCATAGAAAGGAGACCATGACTTTTTGATGTGTAAAAAGAAAACTTGAATAGGTGAATTTATAATTAGGAGATTTAAATTCTGAAACAGTAAGGGTACATCAAGGTGTTGTTATAATGCACAAAAAAAGTGTGAGAACGTAAATTTTTAACAGCATTTGTTTTTACGGTGGAATTCATGTATAATCTTTAAGAACTAAAATATCTGCTGACAATATATGACGAGGGTCTGTGAATGTGTGTGTTGAGCCTTAGTTGATTCAGTTTTTAGTTTGCCTGAGCTGTAGGAAGTTCCCTATTCAGGAACAACAATATTGAGGGACTATTCATGGTGTGTTCCACTTTTGATATACACATGTAAGATGTTTAATCAGAAAATGAACTAACTTAGTAAAGTTTTATTTACTGTGTGAACTGTATATAGCTAAGAATCACCACACACCTTTTTGTAAAGAATGTCATTTACCTATTATAAATTTTTATATTCTTTTTATTGTGTAGGTGAGCAGTAAGGATGAAGACTTCCTAGACCTGTCTGTAGACGTGGAACAAAACACGTCTATCACACACTGTCTTCGTGGTTTCAGCAGCACTGAGACCCTATGTGCAGAACACAAATACTACTGTGAAGGATGCTGCAGTAAACAAGAGGCACAGAAGAGGTTAGACTTCATACATAATTTTATTCACAGTTAGAATAATTCTCATTTGATTTAGGGCATTAATAGTACGATATGTATTAGATTGATGAGTGGCACAGAAGATATACTGTAATTGTCATGGAGATAAGGTTTCATTCCCCAATACAATTCCAAAAGTAGAGGATCAACTGCCCAACGTCGCAGACTTTCAGTTTTCTATAAATGTAAGACCTGTTAAGCTTGTCACACTGTGATGTTATTTCTGCCATATGGGGCTAATGTGTGAAGTTTTGATTGATTGATGCAAGACATGATTTTATGTAGCTTTTGTAAATAAATACATTCTACTTAATATCAAATGAGAAATCAATTACAAAAAAAGGTGAAAAACGATTATCTTTATTCATATTTATGAACAGTTTGGTAATTTCATTATTAGAGGTTATCATATTTTCAAACTGTTTGATGATCATAAAATCTTATCATTTTTTCTTTAGGATGAGAGTGAAAAAGTTGCCTCAAATCCTGGCTCTTCATCTAAAAAGGTTCAAGTACATGGAACAGATGAACCGATTTACTAAGTTGTCCTACAGAGTTGTCTTTCCCTTAGAGCTGCGATTATTCAATACAGTAAGTGACCAATCAAAGTCGTATTTTATATTTTCTATTCTAGCAAATTTATATTTTGTCTGCTTTCATATCTGAGCTGATGAAATTCTTGCATTAGATATTGCTGGTAGCATAGATCTAGTAGGCGTCGAGGGGCGTTGAATTTTGTAGATTTATATTTTATACATTTTTGAACCAGGGTAATTTTTGCTTTATCACATAGAATTTTGGCTTTCTAATGCTTAATTGATTGTGTTTGTGTTTAAGTCGGATGATGCGTGTAATCCTGACCGAATGTATGACCTGGTAGCTGTGGTGATCCATATTGGCAGCAGCCTCAATCGCGGACACTACATCAGTATTGTTAAAAGTGACGGCTTTTGGTTCCTGTTTGATGATGATATTGTTGATGTAAGTGTTCCTATATTCATATTCTTATTTTTACAACCATTCAGTATTATAATTGAATATTTACATGTTCCTGTGTTCAGCTTTCATTCTGAATGTTTAAAAAAAATTGGCTTATTGTGTTGATTCAAAGCACAAAAATCAGAAAATTAATCTTTTAAGCTTAATTTGATTTCTAAGACATTTGCATTCCAAGTTAGAAATCCAGTAAGAACATCAATGCAGAAGTTTTATTTAATAATTGAAGGAATTCAAAAAAAAATATGAATCAAACTTAAGATTAATTTTTAAGTAAACAGTGACACATTCTAGAAATGTGAAATATAACAAAAATCAGAACATTCAGAAAAAAAAGGCACAGGGTTTGAAAATGAGGACAGGACAATGAGCTTTTGTGTCCCATTCTACTTGGATCATTGATACTTCTTCATTTTTATTAGAAACAGTTTATGAATAAAAGAGTTATATCCCTATAATATGGAAGTGGTATAAGAGTTATATCCCTTTAATATGGCAGAGCTATAGGTTTTTGTGTTTGGAACTATCAACTTTGTTTGCTTTAAGTACAGAGTAAATTTATGATATGTATATGTCTTTCTTATTTCTTGTACAACTTTTGTTTTTTTCTTGCAGAAAATTGATTCCAATGCAATAGAAGACTTTTATGGATTGCCTTCTGACTTACAGAAAAACTCAGAGACTGGTTATATATTGTTTTATCAATCCCGGGAATGAATCTGCCATGGATGCTAGTCGGACAAAAAAAGCTTGTTTGAGAGATGAAATTGCTAAGTGTGTGAACTTCATTGGATTGTGATATTTTGTTTTAATTTTGAATGTTTTTACTTCCTGTTTTGTTTAAGGATATAAATGTAGATTTGAGTGATCAGCTGTTAACCAATGTGTTTGTAAATCGTGATATGTTGTTACTGAGATCAATTGATGCATCCTTTGCTGGAGTGTTCAATCTACAAAGTCACTTCCAGTTGGTTTCATTACATGCATAGCTCCTCAACCTCTGACTGAAAAAGTGAGTCTATTGTAAATGAATTTATAGACAAGTTCAAAATTAGGAACTTTGTTTTGAGGTGTTTAAACATTGATGCAAGTTTTTAAGGAATGGCCAATGGTGCTTCTGTTTTTGTCAGATGTCAAATTAGATCTGAAGTGATGATAACATAGAAACATCACATGTATTTTGTGTGGTAAATCTGACAAGTTTTATTAATAAAATCCATCACCTGATTTAGTGCTGTAATATTGAACTGTAACAATTAATTTCAAAAGCTATTAATTAACAACAATTTACCAAACACCAGTTATCATTTAACCGTTGAAATTTATTAATGTTTTTAATTTGTTTTGTATAGATCACTATTAGAAGTTAACTATCCCTTCCATATTAATTTCTTCAGTAACTCAAAATATTTACTTGATACTGACGGTATTGAATCTTGTTAGGTTACTAGCTGACCTGTAGATCAGTGTCTGGGATTACAAGTATACATTACATTTTCACATTATAACAATCATGTAGGGATCTTACATTACATACCTTGTAATAGCTATTACAACATTGTAAAATGATATGTTATGACAAAATATAGGGAGCCAAGCAGAAATCTAGACTTCAAGAATGACCCTGAAAAGCATGAAGATGCACAGTGTAATTATTACTGAAGAAAGACTATTTCAGAAGACCATTATCTGTTCTTTCTTTGTTTTGATATTACATCAATTCCTTAAAAAACTGAAATAAATTGAAAATAACAAAGACAAAAAATATCAGTGTATATTTGTATGTAGGTCATTGCAGCTGTCCATACAGCAATATCACTCTTCTTACATTAGATTTACTGGTTTCTTAAATCTCAACCTTAATTTATAAAGATGATAAAGTTGTTCAGTCTGTTGTATTATCAAAAGCAAATTCCTACTGAATTTGATTTCTATGAGATGACTAATAGAGCATGATTATAGAAGATAGATTTCAAAAATAAAGCAAACCGATCAATAGCTGGATGTTTATGTAATATCTATGTTAGTAAGATGTTAATAACCTAAAGAACTGTAAACTATATGAAGGATTTTGTTGATCTTGATCAGGATGATATTTATGAGTGTAATCTTCACAAATTATATGATATATTGCATTTGTAATTTATTCAGATGTGACTGTCACGGCTTTACCTAGGTCAGTAAGGTGATATTAATAAGCAATGATGATGTAGAATATGTACAAGTATTTCCACTTTTATACAGGTTGTTTTCATAGCATCATACACAGTTACATCTAACTACATGTATTAATAAATCATAATTGGTCAGGAAAATTGATTGGATTAGAATTTTTTTTTTAATTTTTAGTGAGATTGATATAATTTGGATTAGAATAGTTTTATGCTTGTTGCCTGGATAATTTCAATATGCTTTTTAAAAATGAAATACCTCAGAATTCAATGTCATATCGGTTAGGTTATGATTAAGTTCTATCTCTTTTATAACATGTAGGTTGTATAAAGCATTTGACTTACTGTATATGGAGAGACCTTGGTCACAGGTTAACCTTTGCCCATTCTATGCTTTTGTCAATAAGACGAAAATAAAATAATGGCCAAAGTTTGAAGTTATTTTTGTTTGAAGGAGAAAGAAAACTCTAGACAAAGGTGTCTCTGTATACACAAGTGCTTGGTTTTCAAAATTTCTTTCAAATGTATTGTAATTGACTGTTTATTATGGATTGATAATGATTCAATGAAGTGATCAACAATGCACTTTATCAAGAATAATAATCATATTTCCGTTAGGATAGGTAACAAAAATAAGATCATGTTTGTAATAGCAACAGAAACACTTAATAGGTTAGATATTAGATTGATAGATAATATTAATTTAAGATTATAATCAGGGTAAAGCTGTTTATTTAAATGTGTAAAAACACTATTAACTACAGGGTGGTATCATGATACTCCATTCTGTTGAGAATGTTACAATAATTTGATGCCCTCTCTCTCACTCTCTAAAGGGCATGTGCTTGATCTTGTTTTTGTACTTGAATATACAAAGATTTACTGCCCTTTCATCATTGTGAAAGAATACCAGACAATATTTCCAATTTTCTTTGGTGTATACTGGAGTGAACTGATCATTTCATAACTGGTAGCCTAGACAATTTACTGAAAATAGATGAAATACTAGAGAACTTGCATGAGTAAGGACTTTAACTCATGTAATGTTGTTATTCAATAACATACATACAGGTGAATCCTACTTATCACCAAACCATTTATGATAGGTGACAGGAAGGGACATTAATCTTATCAACATGCTTTTATGTTTTGTATGAGAATTTCACAATTTGAGTGTACTTATTGTGTATAATGTAGAGAAAAGTACTTCATTAAATTTTGTATTTTTGATTCATTCAAAGCTTGATGTAATGCATAACATTTCCGTATGAAAACATTCAAATTGAGCAATTCATCTTGAATCTGTCTGACATTATTTACATATCATGAATGAATATTTCACTCAAAAATAACTACAGATAATACTGCATGAATGAGTTTGAAATTCTTTCCAGATTAACAGTAATGAAATAAAATAAAACTTTTCCCCCAATTGTAAGATTTTAAAACAAAATGACACTCATCAATTTTTTTCATCAATTAATTTGCATTTCTCTGACACTAAATTTTAATAGAGAACAAAATGACACTCATCAATTTTTTTCAAAAATTGATTTGCATTTTTCTGACACTTCTTTCCTAGATATCATATTTAATACTTTACACTTATAAGTTGTAAAACAAATTAACATTGCATTTGTAAACAAAGGAAAGATATTTACTCAGGCTAAGTTTGAATGAAATGAAGATCATTCTCGAAGGTAATTGAGAACATATTAACATTTTCCAATTATGTTGAAGTGAAGAAATACGAGTTGTTTTTTTAATAAATGTAGAATAACTTTAATAGATATTTAATTAAAATCCTAGTTATCAGGTAATCAACATCTAAATGATTGGGGTTGTGAGAGGATGGTGATTTTGTTCTTACTTTGTACAGTATATGACATTGTATAAATCAATTGAATATGTTACATGTAATTTGATTCATGCTGTTATTGCAAAAATAAGTGTCTTGGCTGAAATATGTAGGTATATAAACACTGTCTTTGTGGTTTGTCTGTGAAGTGTCAATGGAGATGTTATACAAGGTCAATCTTTTTTGTTTGTTTGTCCGGTGTCGATATCTAAAACCACTTATTTTTTATAGAATTTCCCAAAGGATCAGATATCTAAGTAAACCTTTAAATTCTAGAATAGATTTTAGACAATTGTTATGGAACGTTTTTCCTCTGAATTTATTGTCAGCAAAGTGAATGTGATCTTCGCAATCAATGACATAGATTATGTGTGAGAATATGTTGATGAGAAATTCAAGATTAACTTAAGCATGAAAAATATTGCACATAAAAATTTGGAGTTTTTGATTGGCATGATGACATCAATACAAAGTGTTTCTATCGGTCAATTCATATTTTCTTTTTTAAAATTACTAATGTTTTGCAGAAAAATCAAATTGATACTGTAGATAATGTTTTATAACTTCATATAGATGGACTCGTCTGATATTTTCATCCTGTGTATTTTTTCCCTTTGCTTTAATCTATTAGTTAGCATTATTAAGTAACATGTATTGATTAGAACACGTTTGAACAAAGAATTTATTGAAAATTCTATATAATTATGATATTTATCAAGAAGGCAAGACAATAATAGTTTGATTATATAACATCACACTTTTGTTGTAGCTTATAATTTTGTGTCCATGATGTCTGATGAGAACTGTGTACTGGTATATGTCTGGAGTGAAAAAACCTACAACCACGAAAAACTGACTTCTGTTGATGAATACTATTACCTATGATCATTTGTAACATGAATGATAATCAGATTGAAGTTATATTATCTTCAACAATAGTTTTGTAATTTGTAAATGATTTCTTCATGACCAGGACTGATTTATGCAGTGATATAGATAATTGCATTTATTGTGAACAACACGTGTTGTAGTATTAGAATATCAATTACTTTTAGTATGTACAGGTATTACTTCTCCCACAGATCTTGTTTCTGTTGAAAAATATATTAGTCTACTGAATGAATTAATGACAATTTTCACTCTTGGTTATGGGTTGTCCCAAATTTACTTCAAACTATTTTTGGCAACATGATGTTAAACTCTGTGGGGTTTTCATCACTTGAATATTATTAAATAAACCGATAACAATAAACGTGGTAATAGATAAGAAGGGAAGAGGGGAACCGCGACTAGTGTTTTGTCTACTGAAAATTATATTGTATTCATACTTACAGTAGGTAAAAGTGAGTTAACAGCTGCCAACTGTAAACACAGGACCTTACAATGATTGGTTCGTGGAATGAAATTAGCTTAAGTTAATTACTTAACAGTGAAACTTTGATCAGGGTGTATGTCTAAGTTCCTTGATTTTTTTTTCGACTCTACAAATAAAAGTTAGTTGGATATTTTAAAGATTTTTTTTTTCATTGACAAATACTGAAATATGTATGTTATTCACAGCTACATGTGTTTGTAAGTCAGGAAGGAATAATGAAAGATGTAGACAAAATTTTTTACTATAATTGACGGAATGAATTACATGTAGTTGAATTTTTCTTTATTAGTGATAATGTTTTCTTCAATGGTACATTTGTATCAGTATGACGTCATGTTTTTGTTTAAAGCGACTGGCTTTAATGGATACCAGATGGAGAACTCTAACCGGAAATCATTAGATGTACGGGTTTTTGTCAAGGTGGGAACAGGTCCATTTTTACCAAAGCCTGTCTCTTTCTGATAACTATACCAATGTTACTATCAATCATGGAAGTTTTTAGTGTGTTGATGCACCCATGTTATAGGTCATTGTGGACCAGACGATATTTAACGGAAACGTCCAATAAAATCTTAGTAAATAATTGATTTGTTTGTTTATATTTTAGAGCGCGGAAAACGAGGCTACACTGGTCTTACTTACAAGGGCGTTTTGGTGTCCATTCAATATCAGGGATGTTTATGACCAGTACATCAGAGGCAGTAATTCATCACAACATATGAAGGTGATTAGAATAACAGGTTTTGATTCAAATGTGCAGAACCAAGCTTGGAATGTGTACTATCTATCACGCTCCCGAAAAAAACGAAGAACAATGAAAATGACGATATCGAGTCCGGTACAAATGCCGCTCCAAACCATTACACAACTTCACAAGAACGTTTTTTCCGTCGCCTTCTACACTGTGCCTTCCCTGTTCCGTTCTATGCAAAATCGAAACTAGTATGAAAACAACATTGTTCCGTCGTTGTAAGGCCAAACGACGGTGAATTCGAGTCCTTTTACTGCAGTTATTATGACTTTGTTGCAACAAGGTGGGTCCGATGTAGGGCTAACGCGCTTTCGATTTGGTAGGCTATCAAACCGGTGCTATTGTGCATGTGTATAAATCGTATGCGACGGTCAACCTTAGTATTACCACTCCACGCCGAGACTTCCCAGTCTGGATCACGAGCCCTTTCCTTCTGTATTCAGTTTTGGTGAATTCTAAGTGCTGATACTGTCAGCTATGGCTTATTTCTTAAATTGTAAAATCTTCTCATTGTTTTTACTCATTTACGGATATTGGCCAAGAAGATGTAAAAGCTTATTTACCGGAAATGTACGTTGTACTTTGATAGGATCTGTGACAATTTTTTAATCGTTTAGGATTAAACATTAAATGTTTTTTTATTTATTTAAGAATAAATGTAGCCTCAGACCATCTAATGCTGATGTACCCAAAGCTCAGAGTCATATGACAAAGGGACAGCCTTTTTCTTAACTCATCTTATTCCTTTATCTAGATCTCTACGTCACGCTTGGAAGATTTCAGGATTCCGACAATACTTATGGACATGTCCGATTCTTTCTTAATTTGTCTTTCTTTGGCGGGATATTTTCAACGTTCATTCTGCACTGCACACTTTACGAAATGTTTCGACTGTTACGGCTACGTTTAGCATTCCAAACATACATGTAGACTTTTACAATATATTCCAACAGACAATGTTTAGTTACAATAGTGGTACTATACCATCAATCGATCATTGCAACAATCAACCCTGTGTTGGTGATGCCACATTTGCACTCAGGTGTTCCTTTTGATCGTATTTGTATTCCAAATAAGTAGTACAAAAGATCAGTTTCAAAACGACAATAATATTTCTAAAACCTTTTATTAACAATATAATACGCAATCCGCGTTTGGCTCAATTGATTGATTTTCAAACTGTAACAAGGATGCTACGATTGTTTGCAACATTTCCATATACGTGATGTAGATAAAGAACATATTCATCGATCTGACGGAAATTCGCTAACTATGGAATCGATTTTCATACATCACACAACCCCTTTGAAATTTGTGGCATTCCTATAACAATGCTGTCACCTTCATTACAGAAATGGCCATTAAACCCAACTCCAACTAGTTATACTGCGTATGATATGGTAATGAAATCGACTGGAATGTATATCTATCACGCTCCGGAAAAAAGAAGATACAAGAAATATTAATAATGAATTTTATAAATCCTTATCAATCACGTAGAAGTTAATGAAGCCGTCGTCAAACTTTGCGTTCAGTTGTTTAATTCGACGTTAAAGGACGTTTAGGACAATTTCAAATGTCACATCGTTAGTAACGGGTATGACCACCGTTTGCCAGGTACATGGAAATTGTAAATCACCAGATGATTGAAGGAGAGATCTTTGTGCCATTCATCGTTCAAGGGGTCCAGCTCCAGGAAGTTTGATAGCTGACGTTGACGTTCTCTCGCGGGTTGCCCAGAAACGTTCCATGCATGAACAATTAGTGACTTAATTTCGGTGGCTAATATAACACCTGTTCTGTTGACGCGACTGGTATACGCTGGCATGTGATCCTACTGGAAAATAGAGCCAACACAATGACGTAAGAAGAATGACAAAACCTCTGGTCTTAAAACAACCTGATATCAATTCAGATTAAATTGTCTTTACGAAATCAAGTCCGGTACAAATGCCGCTCCAAACCATTACACAAGTTCACAAAAAAACGTTTCTTCGTCGCCTCTGTACCCTGTGCCTTCTGTGTTCCGTTGTATGCGAAATCGAAACCCGTATGAAAACAACATTGTTCCGTCGTTGTAAGGCCAAACGACGATGAATTCGAGTCCTTTTACTGCAGTTATTATGACTACGTTGCAACAAGGTGGGTCCGGTGTAGGGCTAACGCACTTTCGGTTTTGTAGGCTATCAAACCGGTGCGATTGTGCATGTGTATAAATCGTATGCGACGGTCAACGTTAGCAGTACCATTCCACGCCGAGACTTCCCAGTCCGGATCACGAGCCCTTTCCTTCTGTATTCAGTTTTGGTGAATTCTAAGTGCTGATGCTGTCAGTTATGGGTTATTTCCTTAATTGGAAAATCGTCTCGTTGTTTTTACTCATTTACGGATATTGGCCAAGAAGATGTAAAAGCTTATTTACCGGAAAATGTACGCTGTACTTTGATAGGATCTGTGACAAATTTTTAATCGTTCAGGATTAAACATTAAATGTTTTAATTTATTTAAGAAGAAATGTAGCCTCAGACCATCTAATGCTGATGTACCCAAAGCTCAGAGTCATGTGACAAAGGGACAGCCTTTTTTCTTAACTCATCTTATTCCTTTATCTAGATCTCTACGTCACGCTTGGAAGATTTTAGGATTCCGACAATACTTATGGACATGTCCGATTCTTTCTTAATTTGTCTTTCTTTGGCGTGATATTTTCAACGTTCATTCTGCACTGCACACTTTCAGAAATATTTCGACTGTTACGGTTACGTTTAGCATTCCAAACATACATGTAGACTTTTACAATGTATTCCAACAGACAATGTTTAGTTACAATAGCGGTACTATACCATCAATCGATCATTGTAACAATCAACCCTGTGTTGGTGATGCCACATTTGTACTCAGGTGTTCCTTTTGATCGTATTTGTATTCCAAATAAGTAGTACAAAAGATCAGTTTCAAAACGACAATAATATTTCTAAAACCTTTTATTAACAATATAATACGCAATCCGCGTTTGGCTCAGTTGATTAATTTTCAAACTGAAACAAGGATCCTCTAATTTGTTTTGTAGCATTCCATATACGCGATAAAGAGAAAGAACATATTCATCGATCTGACGGAAATTCGCTAACTATGGAATCGATTTTCATACATCACACAACCCCTTTGAAATTTGTGCCATTCCTATAACAATGCTGTCACTTTCATTACAGAAATGGCCAGTAAACCCAACTCCAACTAGTTATACTGTGTATGATATGGTAATTAAATCGACTGGAATGTCCCGGCTGTGTTATACTTCTATGTATATCTATCACGCTCCGGAAAAAATAAAGAAAAATGGAAAAAAAAAAAAAACAAGAAAGATACAAGAAATATTAATAATGAGTTTTATAAATCCTTATCAATCATGTACAAGTTAAAGTATTCGTCGTCAAACTTTGCGTTCAGTTGGTTTAATTCGACGTTAAAGGACGTTTAGGACAATTTCAAATGTCACATCGTTAGTAACGGGTATGACCACCGTTTGCCAGGTACATGGAAATTGTAAATCACCAGATGATTGAAGGAGAGATCTTTGTGCCATTCATCGTTCAAGGGGTCCAGCTCCAGGAAGTTTGATAGCTGACGTTGACGTTCTCTCGCGGGTTGCCCAGAAACGTTCCATGCATGGACAATTAGTGGCTCAATTTCGGTGGCCAATATAACACCAGTTCTGTTGACGCGACTGGTATACGCTGGCATGTGATCCTACTGGAAAATAGAGCCAACACCATGACGTAAGAAGAATGACAAAACCTCTGGTCTTAAAACAACCTGATATCAATTCCGATTAAATTGTCTTTACGAAATCAAGTCCGGTACAAATGCCGCTCCAAACCATTACACAAGTTCACAAAATACGTTTTCTTCGTCGCCTCTGTACCCTGTGCCTTCTGTGTTCCGTTGTATGCGAAATCGAAACTCGTATGAAAACAACTTTGTCTGTCGTTGTAAGGCCAAAAGACGATGAATTCGAGTCCTTTTATTGCAGTTATTATGACTACGTTGCAACAAGGTGGGTCTGGTGTAGGGCTGACGCGCTTTCGATTTGGAAGGCTATCAAACCGGTGCGATTGTGCATGTGTATAAATCGTATGCGACGGTCAACGTTAGCAGTACCACCCCACCCCGATACTTCCCAGTCCGGATCACGAGCCCTTTCCTTCTGTATTCAGATTTGGTGAATTCTAAGCGCTGATACTGTCAGCTATGGCTTATTTCTTATATTGAAAAATCGTCTCGTTGTTTTTACTCATTTACGGATATTGGCCAAGAAGATGTAAAAGCTTATTTACCAGAAAATGTACGCTGTACTTTGATAAGATCTGTGAAAATCTTTCATCTTTAATTTTCGATTTATTTGAAGAATAAATGTAGCCTCACACCATCTAATGCTAATGTACCCAAAGCTCAGAGTCATGTGACAAAGGGACAGCCTTTCGTAAATCAATATTTCGACTCTTACGGTTACGTTTAGTCCAAACATACATGTAGACTTTTACAATATATTCTAACAGACAGTTACAATGTTTAGTTACAATAACGGTACTACACCATCAATCGATCATTATAACAATCAACTTTGTGTAGTACAAAAGATCAGTTTCAAAACGTCAATAACATTTCTAAAACCTTTTATCAACAATATAATACGCAATCCGCGTTTGACTCAATTGATTAATTTTCAAACTGAAACAAGGACCCGACAAATTTTTGCAGTATTTCCATATACGTGATGGAGAGAAAGAACAAATTCATCGATCT